AAGGCTGGTCCACTACTTCTTCAGTATTAATCTCGTGACAGTGTGCTGGTTCATCCCTTCATTCAATGGTGATATGGGGAGCCTCATTATCCCATTTAAGTTTAAACATAGATGACATTGTGGCTAGTGCATCTGCTAGCCGATTTTCTTCTCAAAATGTGGGAGCAATGTCAAAACATGTTCTTTGTAAGGGATAAGGTTAAAGTGTTTGGTATCCCACTCCCCTTTGATATGGATGATAACCAAAGATGAATCTCCGAATACATTCAAAGATTTGATCCCCAAGTCTATGGCAGCTTTGAGGCCAAAGATGCACGCTTCGTATTCCGCCATATTATTTGTACAGTTGAAGTAGAGTCTTGAAGTAAAGGGAGTATGACACCCTTCAGGAGATATGATTATTGCACCAACACCATTATCAAGTGCGTTAGATGCCCCATCAAAAACCAGGGTCCATCGGGATCCTTGTTCAGGTCCGTCACATGGCCTGAATTCTTCATAGTTGTTTACCATCATGGTGTCCTCATCTGAGAATTCAAACTTCATGGACTGGTAGTCTTCTACTTCTTAGTGAGCAAGGTGATCAGCTAGTACACTGCCCTTTATTGCCTTTTGGGTAGTATACTGTATGTCATATTCTGTCAGGATCATCTGCCATCTCGCTATTCTCCCAGAGAGAGCAGGTTTCTCAAAGATGTATTTTATTGGATCCATTTTAGATATCAATAAGGAAGTATGGGTCAGCATATACTGTCTTAGTCAGCGAGCAGCCCATGCCAGAGCGCAACAAGTTTTCTCGAGCAGTGAATATCTTAATTCACAGTCGGTAAACTTTTTGCTCAGGTAATAAATTACATGCTCTTTTCGGCCAGACTCGTCATGTTTCCCCATCACACACCCTATTGAATTCTCTAAAACAGTTAGATACATAATCAACAGTCTTCCCTCGACTGGTGGCATCAAAACAGGAGGCTCTTACAGGTACTCTTTGATCTTGTCGAAAGCAATTTGGCATTCATCATTCCATTTGACTACTTGATCTTTCTTCAATAGTTTGAAGATTGGTTCACAGGTAGCTGTCAGGTGAGAAATGAATATGGCAATATAGTTCAAACGTCCCAAGAATCCTCTAACTTTCTTTTCAGTACGAGGAGTAGGAATCTCTTGTATCGCTTTTACTTTGGCAGGATCTACTTCAATACCCTTAATGCTGACGACAAAGCCTAGGAGCTTACCAAACCTTACTCCAAACGTGCATTTATTTGGGTTCAACCTCAACTTGTATTTCTTTAGCCTCTCAAATAGTTTCTGTAAATGATCAAGATGATCTTCTTCTGTTTGAGATCTAGCTATCATGTCGTCCACATATACCTCTATTTGGTGATGTATTATGTCGTGAAATAGATCGACCATGGCGTGCTGATAGGTTGCCCCAGCATTCTTCAGTCCGAATGGCATCACCTTGTAGTAAAATGTGCCCCATTACGTGACAAAGGTTGTCTTCTCCGTGTCCTCAGGCGCCATTTTGATTTGGTTGTAAATTTAAAAATTGTCCATGAAGGAAAACACTTTGTGTTGTGCCGTATTGTCAACTAGGATGTCAATATGGGGAAGTGGGAAACCATCCTTAGGGCTTGCCCTATTCAAATCTCTGTAGTCCATGCACAATCGTACCTTGCCGTCCTTTTTGGGCGCGGGGACAACATTGGCAACCCATTGCGGATATGAGGCGACGGCCAAGAATCCAGCATTGAATTGTTTCATGACTTCTGCTTTAATCTTCTCCGACATGTCAGGTCGCATACGACGAACTTTTTGTTTTACCGGTGGGCAATTCTCTTTTGTAGGTAGACAATGTACCACAATATCTGCATCAAGTTCTAGCATGTCTTCATACGACCAGGAAAAGACCTCGACATACTCGTGTAACAACTGTATCAGACGCTCCTTGTTCTGCCTAAAGGAAATCAAATCTAAAGCGTTCATGTAATTTGGACTGTTTTGAATTTTAAAGAGATGAAAGAATAATGTCACCTAAAGTTTTCACCTTGTGCTCACATCTTTGCGGGAAAACCATGACGAATGCCCAACTCACCAGGTGAGTTAGAGAGGGCGGAATCAATAAGAAGTAAATTATGCTAACCTCAAACTCATAGAAAATAAGGAAAAAACCTATGAGAGTGAATACACATTCATGGAAGGGGATGACTCATCCGTCATATCAATTGCATATCCTCTTATCTTCAATAGGACGGAACACCACCCAATCAGATAAAGGACCCACATCAATTATAGTATGATCCAAATCCCCTCACATGAAAATGTGATAAAGTTTCTAGTATATCTTGGTTCATCCAATCACTCGAGATATCCTTACCAACCTTCCTGGCTAAGGTTGACACAATCACCGTGATTAAATGAGTTATGGAAGAAATGAGCATAGCTAAAATTTTATAAGCAAGCAAACTCAAACAACTAAAGAAATCTCCCTGGGAAAAAGGTGAGAGATTAAACGCTCATTATTCTAGAAACCCTAGAAAACGGGAGAAAAATCAAAGAGAAAAATGACAGTATTTATCTTAAAGAAGATGGAGCGACCAAGCATGCATGACATGCACCAGCAAACAAGGTCAGAAAGACTTGTTCTAACACTGAAGCAAGGAAAATCGTGAAGAAAATGGCGAAGGAAGAGGAAAAGGCTCTCTTGTAGATCGCCAATGGAAGAAAAAAAGACTGAAGTGGTGCCTTAGATGCCTTTTATACCACATTCATCCATAGAGGATTGTACAATCACTAGGCACAACCAACGATTGAGATCTCCTTAAAAAAGGTTTAAAAACACGTAAGTACCTAAGCATGAGGAAACATCATTATTAACTAGAGTAGAGAGACGTGTTAGTCGCTCCCAACAAAAATTATGTCTTAAAAGAAAGGAATTTAATGCTCATGTTCCTAAGAACAACGACGTTCCATCGAAGGCTTCCACACCCACGTATTTCGTGGCCGAGTAAATAATACATGTCATAAATCGTCTTCTTGCAAAGCAGAAACAAGGGCTTGGGAGAAACTGTTTCGTGGCATCCACGAAGCCACGGAGAAAAGGCCTAGTACTTGAACAACAAAATATTAAGTGCAAAACAGGTGGAATCTTTATCTCCATTAAGCAGGAAATCCCTCACGCAAGTACTTTGCTAATTATTCAGATCAATCTGACGTCTGACCACAATTCACATCTAGCCTCACACATTCAGTTGTCAACGGTCTCTTCTATTTAAAGAAAGAAGTGCGACATTTCTCAGGTGTTCAAACCATTTCTCACTCAAACACTATTTTTTACTCTCATACTAACTTAAGGGGAAAGAATTCTGTCCAATGGAGTTTTCATTGGATAAGATGTATTGGATTACTGTACCCTTCAAACTTCATACTTCATATTTTTGTTTATTTAATATTTTAATTGAGTGATATAGATTTAACTGCATAGTAATTTCACGGGAGAGAATTCACTCCCTAACTTAAGTATTTAAGTATTAAAGTGATATTCTTATAGATAAATCATTTCTCTCTTATATCAGAAACTCAGAACCACTTTAACAACTTATATATCTTCACTATTCGATCCACTCTAATTTCACTACCTTATACATACTAATCAATTTGTGGTGCTACTCATAAGTTGAAATTGTGTATTGACAACTACCAAATATCATCTTAGTAATAAAGGATGAATTTTAATTATTTACAAATATAATGCTACAATTGATAATTATCATATTCTCAATGACATGTCAAATGAAATATTTTTGAACCAATATATTCATAGGAATAATAGGGGCACCAAGTTATTGAGTTGGACAGTAAAGTTGGCACTTTTAAATAAAGTTAGCATTTAATTATAAATAAATAAAAAAGTTAACACTCAACATCCTACATTATCCACGAATAAGATTGATTTTAGAAAACAGAAACTAACAAAAACCTAAAATTAGGGAGATCTAACTTTTTTTAAACTAGGTCTTGCCTCACGTCTTTACCGTAAAATTATGGATTCGTTCGGTGTCACCAAAATAAATGGCTTTTAGAAAAAATACAACTCGCAACGTAATAAGACAATAATTTAACTTGGGGAAAGAAAATAAAATAAAATAAATATAATATCTTGTTTGCCCGATTGGATCAAATGTTCTATTCTAGAGAGAGAAGATCTCTAGTTCACCATACATTTATGAGATGTTAAAAACAATACAAATGAATTATAAGAAAATAGTCACGCAAGTTCTTAAGAACAAACCATAGTTTTTACCACAAGTATTTCTCAATCTATCTAACTCTCTCAATATATATGAATCACACAAGTCCAAGAAATTTTAAAAGTGTTTCTCATTGCTACTTAGATATTTCTAAGGATTTTTCGAATTTCAAGAACGCACTATTAAAAATTTACCTTTGACTCTTTAAGATTATAACTATAACTCCCAAATCATTTTCTTTGTTTTCAGGTATAAAAGTTTGCAGGTAAATAAAATGATAGAGATAGATATTTATAACAGCTAGAACATAGTGATAATTTTTTTTTAATAATTTATTTAACTTTCTCTTTCTCTGTATAATAATGATTAGGGATAATTTTGACAAAACTATAACCAATATTATCTTGAACTTTGAAATATAACACTTAAAAAAAAATTAAAAAAAAAATGACAACTTAAAAAAAATACAGGGAGGACTATTTTAACATGTTTAGTTTGTTTAGTATCAATAAATTTTCACTATCATAAACATAAAACGGGCCATGCATACAATATTAATTAAGGAAAAAAATTATATATTAAAAATTAAGAATGATATTATTTTAAGTTAATTAATTTATTATCTATATGTTAACCAAAAAAAAAACACAACTAACATATGACAAGTTGAAATGACATTCTTTTATCTATAAATAAGAGAGCACCCACATACCAAGATTCACAAAAACAAAGAGAAAAACAAGAAACAAAATGGATGTTTTATTATCCTTAAACTCAAGCTCAAGCCTAATCAACATTTCAAAACCATACAAACATCATCATAACCTTCATCTCTCAAATAATCATCAAACAAAACCTCGCACGGTACAGTTTTCTGTTTCATGCAGAGCCACAAAAAGTGTTCCAATGAATCATAAACTAGATGATGGAAACTTGTACAAGACACTACGTTTGAGTTCCAAAACAGCAACAAAAGATGAGATAAAAAGAGCATATAGAAGAATGGCTCTTCAGTATCATCCTGATGTTTGTCATGATGGAACGAAGAAAGAGGAATCAACGAGGATATTTGTACAAGTTAATGAAGCTTATAAGACTCTGTCGAATCCAAAGCTTAAAGAAAAGTATGATTCAGAGTTGTTTGGTTTGGGTAATTTGAGAAGAAGTAAATGGATGGAACAAGTTGATGAATTGAATAGAAGATCTCAAAAAAGTAAGGGCGGTGCATCTTCATGGGGTTGTAGAATGAGAGCCATGAATAATAATAACATTAAAACCTTATAAAATATATATGCCACGCGTTTTAGACCCTTTAGCTATAATCGTTTCATCGTGATAACACATCATGTTTAACTTCAGTGCAATAGCCAATATCATCAAACATGGTTATCGGAAATAAATTTATGTATGAGCTCTGGAATATACTTCATGTTGTGAAGAGTCACGATCATCAAAATTTTAAGTCTAATCGTACCAATATCGTGAACTTTTCAAACCTTATTGTCACTAAGTTGAACTACTCCACCTTCAATAAGTTTCAAAGTCTAAAAGAAATATTTTCTTGAACATATGTGATAAGATAAATCTAAGTCCATGAAAAACCCTTTTTCAGAGTCAAAACTCAACACCGAAAATAACTCAACACTCTCCAGAAAATCCCCATAAAAGACTACAACAATATGGAAAACAATCTTCTTTGTCTTCTTTCACGGGACAATCACTTCTGAAGTGACCGGGTTTCTGACAAATAAGTTATTTTAACTTTGACTTGTAAAACCTTTTTCATTTGGACATTACTATACACTTACTTTCTCCTTGAGACACTCATGCATTCACCACTATCGTCAACCTTTAAACCTTTCGTCTTTGATATTATTTAGATCTCACAGTCGTCTAGACTTCAATTAAAGTAATAGTATCTTCCTTACCATTAAGAATGATATCTTAAAAGTGCTCAAAGGATATGGGTAATGAGATCAACAAGAGTAGAGTTTTGTCCTAATCTTCAATATTCACCTTAGTATACTCTAGATCATCAATGATCCTGTGAAATTCTATCAATTGCTTAACTATGGATTTGTTATCTACTATTCGAAATGAGTAAAGTCGTTGTTCGAGACAAAACATGTGAGTCAAAGTCTTGGTTATAGATAATGATTTAAGTTTTTCCCACATCAAAGTTGTAGTCTTCTCCCTAGAAACTTTCCTTAGAACTTTATTCTCGAGATGGTTTTGTCAAAATGGCCAACATGAAAGTTATAGAGGGTGTTTCAAGCTTTCCAAAACATCCAAGAGCATGAATTTATCATGTTTGAGCTAGAAGATACAAGGATCTGAAGTTGAGCATCCATTCTTGAATTACAAGCCATTTTTGTTGAAGAACACATAATCCAATTGGCATGATGTGCTGCATTATCTCACTTTGCAGGTCTTGTGACTTGCAAATCTCAACATAATTTAACGCTTACACCCACTTTTGAGCTATTACCCAAGTGTTTAAACCATTGTCCAAAGAATCTTTCCATGTATGGCATAAAGGTACCATTGCTACTCTTGAAAAGCAAGCCTTTTGGTACAAAGTTTGTCTTGAGCTCATACCTTGCTTGTTTCTGATTTCACTCCACCATAAAACAGGGAAACCAACCCCTCTAAACCAGCAACTTTGGTACTTGATCTTGGAACCATGGAATACTTGATACTTACATCCTAATCAAACCATAACATGTTGTTGGTAAAAACTATTCAGCATTTGTTCACAAGTCCCTTGCCTATAAATAGAAGAAGCATTTGCAAGGCAAAGAGGTTGGAAAAATAGAGAGAGAGAACAAGGAGAATAGCCAGTAGTTTTATTGATAAACCTTCAAAAAAGCCATAACAGTCCCTAAGACTTCCACTCTTGAGTTTTGAACTCTAAACCTTAAAACCTCTCACACTTTGCATATTCCATCTAAAAACCATACAAACATTTCATACCACACAGAGGTTGTTTAATAACCTTCAACAAAAAGGAAAGTCTAAAAGCCTGTTGGAGATTCCTTAAGGTTCATACAACATCTTGAAGGGTATTTGGACTCAAAACTTAAAGTGCAGTTTCAAGGTAAGTCATCTTTACCTTGCCTTTTCCATATATCAACTTTTCTGTTTATAGGATGTAGCAATCACTATTTTTTGAAGTTAATCATTTATTTGTTGTTCATGTTATTCATTTATATGTTAAAAACTAACTGATGTATGCAAATAATGGTGTTTAAGGCAGAAAAAGGCAGGATGTATCGATACATATCCACATGTGTCGACCCATCTTAGTGAAATTACAGGGTATGAGTCGACACATGACCCTCATGCATCGACCCATACTTAGTTTAGGTCACAAAAACAACAACTGGAAAGGACTATGAGTCAACACATACGCATTTCGCGTCGATACAAAAAGGTGCATGAGTCGACACATCCCATTATGTGTCGACCCATGCTGAACAAATTTCACTTTACAGAAGCTGGAAAAGCCTATGAGTCGATACATACGCATTTTGCATCGATACAAGAAGGTGCATGAGTCGACACATCCCATTATGTGTCGACCCATACTGAACTAATTTTGTTTTACAAGGGCAAGGAAAAGCTATGTGTCGATGCATAGCAGCATGGGTCGACACATAGTAGTTCAAAAATGCATTTTCCTTTATTCTACACTGTTTTCACATTCTTTTCATTATCATTCGATGTGGTTGTAATATTTTAGTTCCTACTTCACCCCCATTGTTAAATTGTATCCCCACCCCCCTGAAGTGATGTAATAGCTTACATTTTATTTTTCGCATTTTTACTTGCTTTTCATATATTACTAGTAAATAAGATGTATGGCAAGATAAAAAACAACAAAATAGACAATCCTAATCAAAGACAAAATGCATGCAACCAAACACACTTTGCACACATGCACCCTTAGGGTAATTTCACTTGTTGCCTATCGGAAAATAGTCATGTCCCTCGAGCATGGGCGTTTTAGCAAAGACCCTCGATAAAAGATCGTAGTCCCTCGATGACCCTCGATGTTGCCTTCGGTAAACGATCTAGTCCCTAAAACGACATTGTTAAAACGTTCCATATGTTGCCTTCTATGACTATACAAACGTCCCAACGCCCATCCCTTTACATCCAACGATGGGGCTTCTTATCAAATCAATGGTAAGATAGCAACATCTAAAGGAGTAGGAAAAGCACATTTAAGACCTTTCTAGTAGGTAGGTTCGCTCTCAGTTACTCACTTGCTCACGATAAAAACATTTTATACACCCACACTCTCACCTTTGAACTATTTTCGAAACCAACACTTGTAGGCGTTCTTATAGAAACAAGAACCATTACGAAGTTCCATTTTCAAAATACTTTCAAAAACACATCTCATAAACACACTTTTGAACTATTTTCGAAACAAACACTTTGTAGGCGTTCTCATAGAAACAAGAACCATTACGAAGTTCCATTTTCAAAATACTTTCAAAAATCACCACCACAAGCACACATTCAAACAAAAGCAAGTGATCTAGCAAGTAACTAAGAGCCCATGGAAAACCATGGATGAAAAGGGTGCTAATACCTTTCCTTTTCATAATCTACCCCCCCCCCCCCCCCCCCCCCCGAACTCAAAAAAATCTCTAAAGGTGTTTCCTGTGCTTTTTCACCTTTCCTTTTTGGATAAAAGAAAAGTCGGTGGAGACTCTTACTAACCGCAACATTTGCAAACACAAACGCAAAACCTTCAAGTCAGTTCTCCCACCGTATCACACTCTTCATCTCATCCCCTTCTCATTGCACTAAATGTTGTTAGAGCATGATCTCTATATCATGTCTCAAGACAAATGGTGCATAGATTGCTATTGACCGACCTCAAAATAGGTGCGACTTCTATATAAGTCCACCTACGATTGCTTAACATAGTGCTAAATTTTGTCCCGATTCGAATAAATGATCATTCGTGGCCCAAACTTATGATTGCAAGCCCAAGTATGTTAATTTGATCTTTTTAATCCAATAACCTTGAGATTCATTGTGTGGAGGCTTTGGTTCTACCAATCCTCTAATGGATCTACAACACCTTTGGTCAATGCGGATCACTTAAACATCGTTGATCATTAAATGGTACTTGTGATAATTCCAAATGGATGATATACTTGACAAAAAGCAAATTCAACTTGTTGTGTGGAGGCTTTGGTTCTACCAATCCTCTAATGAGTTCCAAATACAAGTTTCAAGATGGTCATCCAACTAACCACTAATTATTGACTTGTTTTATTTTATGCTTTTATTCTTTTATGCTTTATGCACTATTTATTTTTTAGCATTTTTTATTTCATGCAATTTTCATCTTTGCTCATTTGAGCATTTATATTCTTGTCATTTCTACTTTGCTCACTTGAGCTTTTTTCTTTTTCTTTTCCTAAGACACTTAATAATCAACATAAACCCTAAAAGACTCTTAATGGTACTTGGACTATTTGGTTACTATCCTTGGCATTATGGAGCAGTGGACTATTTCTTGGACTTAGGATTAGAAACCTTGGCCTATCTTGGAGACCTTGTGATCTTATCTGATTATTTTGTCTAGAGCTCTTGAGGTTTACCTCGGGACATTGGGTTGCTTGTTTCTTTTTGTGTGTAGGTTTTTGTGATTACATCCTTTGTTTGTAATCTGGAATTCACCCGCATATAGCCGTTACCTTGCCCAATTTTTGTGAAGACTTAATACACTTTAAGAGTCTAGTATCTTTGCTTTTTTGGTTTAAATCCAAAGAATTGGAATTCTATCTTGGCTCATAATGTCAAGTTTTTGGCTTCTTGTTGGTTAGATGGTCCTTATCCTTAGCTTTTACCTTATTCTCTAGGATAGTCTCTTCTTCTCCTCCCATCTTCTTTAATTTCAAAAATCTTCTCCCTCCTTTTTAAACTCTTCTTGTTTCTAAACTTGAAACACTTTCATAATAAACTTGGACTATGTCCATGCATTTTCAAAACATTTTCACCAATAAACTTCAACCAATTTAATAATATCTTGACATTTTTTGTGAGAAGACTAAAAGTCAATCAATCTCATTCCAAACCATTTTTGGCCACTTTGGCTTTTATCTTTAAACTTTTCTCAAAAGATTAGACTCTTGTCAATCCTTGTATTGATGCAAACAACTATACTTCTATAATATAATAATTAGTCTGAATGCAAGCTACCATTCTTCTTCCATTTCTATCTTCTATCCCATATCATCAAGGCCAAATAAAGTGCCTCA